TTTTCTCTTTTTTTTTTTTTCCCCCCCCCCCCCCCCCTCTCTCGCCACCTACTCGAGATTGAAGCAAGAACATGCATAGGAGGGGAGAGAAATTTCATATTTGTATATTACGGAGTAATAAAATTTTCAGATTTTCTTACTATTTTGATTACTGTGGATTATATGTTTGGTTATCCTTTTTGGATAGTAGTGGTTTCCATCCCTTCTCTTTGTGATTGAATGAATTGCTTGCTCTGTCTATTGGAATACTCTGGAAAATAATGGTTCCTCAGATTCATACTTTTGCAATATAGTAATTGTTGTATTGTTTATTCTGTTAAAATTTCATAACAAACTGAATTTGTTTACATTAAACTTCCTGCTACACCTGATAATGTTATTTAACCTTGGACAAGTTTTTGGTTTCAAATCAAAGGAAAAAATGTGATGCCAGAAAATGCCATGTTTCCACCTCAATATTTGTGATGCAATATTATAGAGATAAATTATTTATTTAGTTTCCTATTTTGGTTCATATTTTAGGAAACATGATTAGAGTGTGATTTAATTAACTTTTATAGCATTTCTTTACTTAGTTATGATAATTGAAACCATATATGAAGGGGATTATGGAGATGTAATAGGACAACTTGATTATATGAAATAAATTGATTTATCTCCCAAATTTCTATCTTCTCCTCTCCCCCTCTTCTTCTTCTCTCTTTTCCCCCTCCTTTCTCTTCTTCCTTTTCCTCTCCCCTTCTTCTACAATTCTCTTAGTACATTCGGCGTCAATTTGAAATCATAAACTTATCAGGGATGCCGGAAAATCCTCAATATTTGAACAAGTTTTGTGTTAACCTTGATGATTTTGCACCAATCTCTTTTGGAATTGTAGTAAAAATTTCAGGATCCCTGTCAGTTTGCAAGAATGTGATCTGTGTGTTTTGCATCTGATGACATAGATAGTGATGAAGAAACTGTAAGAAGGTTCTTCGACAGGCACGCACACGTCTTCTAATATGTAGCCCCCCTTAACATCCTACAGCACCCCATTCAACCCAACCCTTCTCAAACCCCTCTCCCCACCACCGCCCCCAACCCAGAAAAATGGAAAAGAATTGACCAATAATTATATAAATAAAAGTTGCAATTCAATAGGAAAACCTGTTGAAGTTCACTTTCCAGTTCGTTTATAATACCATTGAAATGAATAAGAGTGCAAACAACTTTTTATAGGTTTGGGACGCTCAATCAAATAAAGGGCACTTTGCTCCCTCTGCCGTTGAAGTTCTACGTATTATAGATGAGACTTTGGAAGCATTCTTTTTGTTGCCAATACCAATGCATCCAGTTTTGCTTCCTGAGTTGGTTAGCGGTCTGGACAAATGCCTTCATAGCTACATCATAAAGACAAAATCTGGCTGTGGTAAATAACTAACTATTGAATTCAGTATAGCTCTTCAATTGTCTTGTAGTTTGCTCTATAACTATTAATTGCTTTTTTTTTCTTTTTTTTTTTTTTTTTTTGAAGGATCTCGCAGTACCTTTGTTCCAAACTTCCCTGCTCTGACCCGATGTTCTCCTGGTTCTAAATTATTTAAGAAGAAAGACAGTTCACGTATGGGTTTATGGAAGACATCACAGGTAAGCACTACAGCTGGGGATGGCTGCTTTAGTATAACTCAACTCTTTGTTCGCATTAATACCTTGTATAACATCCGAAAAGAGTTGGATGTTCTTGAAAAGAGGACAATATCAAATCTGAGCAATGCTGGATTTGTTCACTACAATAATGTTGGGAATGGCAAGTTCGAGGATTCAGTAGCTGGCTGCATCGAAGGGATACAGCAACTCTCTGAGGCAACTGCATATAAGGTTGTATTTCATGATCTGAGTCATGTTCTTTGCGACTATCTCTATGTTGGAGAGATTACGTCATCCAGGATTGAGCCATTTCTTCAGGAGCTGGAGCAATATTTAGAAAAAGTGTCGATAACGGTTCATGACAGGGTTCGGACAAGGGTAATAACTGAAATTATGAAAGCTTCTTTTGAAGGTTTTTTGTTGGTTTTGCTTGCTGGAGGACCTTCTCGTGCTTTTACTCTGCAAGATGGTGCATTGATAGAGGAAGATTTTAAGTTTCTTATGGATCTGTTCTGGTCCAATGGAGATGGTTTGCCAGCTGATTTGATAGATAAGTTCTGTGTTACTGTAAGAGGCATTCTTCCACTTTTTCATACACATACCGAGAACATTATCGAGCAATTCAAAACCGTAATTCTGAACAAAGATGAAGCTTCAGCCAAATCTAGGCTTCCATTGCCTTCCATGTCAGGTCGATGGAGTCCAACTGACCCGTACACAATTCTGCGTGTTTTGTGTAATCGGAATGATAAGATGGCAACAAAGTTTTTGAGGAAGGCCTATAATTTACCAAAGAAGCTATAGCAAAAATGATGCTGTTGGGATCTTTTTCTCCTAAACCCTTGTTCGGAAGAGTGGAATGCATGGCCGGAGCTCAACTTTTGCCATTACCACTGCAAAGAAAGCTCTATATTCATCTGTTCATTTATTTTTTGACTTCGGCTCATGAAATTGGAAAGGCCTAACTTGTGTCTGTAGCTCAGTGTAGTTTTGTAGTTTGCAGTAGTATTTGTTATTTACATTAATAAATTCTGATATCATTTTGGTTTTAATATATTTCATTCTCTCTCACAATATGGATAATTGATTGTGTCAAAATACTAATTTCTTTTCTTAGCTTCTAACTATCCACACCAATTACAGAAAATTGATGTTTGTCGGGATCAATGAGAATGTCAATACTCATCAGAACATGCTATTATAACAACATAAATTATGAAAAATATTTGGATGTAGAATGGATATGGGATAGGGAAACTTGTAGCGGCGGTTTCTAACCTTTTAAATTTTGCAAACTTTATTTTAATTTTCAATTTGTGCCAACGAAGGTCTCTAACATTTCATAAATATGCACTTAGAGTCCAACTGGATGGAAATCATCCACTTGACCGTTAATTGACCAATAAAATTGGATTTTGACCGACTTGACCAAATTGAAAGAGGTAAAAGGGTAGTTTTACATATTTTCAAATATTGACAACTAAAATAATAAAACCAAAAACCAAAAAATAAATAAATAAAATTAATAAAACCACGCCCACCCACCTTACCTTTATCTTCTTCTTTTCTACACGACCACCTGCAATCATCTTCTCCTTACACTTCAACTCTCAACCCATTTATAAGTGCATTTTACATATTTAGACAACATAACATGAATAAATGTTGGTAAATATATTTGAAATACGATTTAATTCTATATAAATTATGTTTTACAAGACAACATTGATAAATATGGTGGAATTTAGAAAAATAAGCGAAAAATGATCAAAATGGAAGAAAACTAAAGTTCAGGGACCAAAGTGTATATAGTCGAAAGATGACCTGAAAGAAGAAACGAAGATGTGAAAGAGTCAAAAATCAATTGAGCCAAGGAATGAAGTGTTGGAAGAACAAGAAATGAGAAAAGAAATCAAGAAACAAGAAAACAGAGATCAAGAACTAAAATGCAACTTTTGAAATTTTTGTTACACTATGCAGTTGCATAGTGTACTACTTCATGCAGTTGCATGTTCATTATCAGCAACTTCCAATGTAAAATTTCACTTAACTATGCTATAGTGTGCATTTGTACTATGTTATAGCATAGTACAATTCCAACGGAAAAATTCTAATTTCTTTATATGACTTATGACTAAAATTCTTATGGAAACAAATATTAAGATGTTTTCTAAAAACCTAGAGCCGTCCATAAGTAGGGGCAAGCATTGTAACACATTCATAGAGGTTTTGGGGCATAGAAGGAGGCAAGAAATACATAGAACGAATCCAAGACTCGATGTTTTCTTCTTTCTAACATGCTAGACTAGATTTATTTGTACTAGGAGAATAATGAGCCTTGTAATATGAATTTTTAATCTTTAGTTTTACATATTTGACATCAAAAACACATTTTTAAATATTGAATGGTTTATATGAATTTCTTTTCTCCACTATTTTGTGAACGATAATTGTGCGAATGTGGTGGCTTATTTTATGCATTCGTAGGAAGATAAATAGGCTCGACATGGTATAAATCATCATAGACTTCGATAGGGGATAGATATATACCGTTTTGCCTTATGTGAACCTTTATGTGTTCATACAAATTCATGCATTCTTATATTTTCGCATCTATCATAAAAATATATTTGAATCATATATGAGAGTAGGTTTGACATTACTTGAGAGGGATTATTGAATAAAGTTGGAATATTGATTCTTCAAAATTCAATCGTGTTGTTAAAGTATAAAACTAAAATTCAAAAAAGTATTACATGGGAATTCGCGATTATAGTGCGTTTGTCATTCATTGAACACATTAATTTGCATTTAGTTTAATTAATTCACTCATAATTGCATATGTAGCTTATTTTAGTTATAGTTTCATCACAATAATCATATCTTATTATTCTTGTTTCGGTTAAAAGTCGCAATAGTTAAAATCAAACTAAATCAATTTATGTTGAACAATACTTGGACTTATATCCAATTTATTACTTATTAACGAATTGTATACGTTTAGATTGAAATATATTTTCGTATAACACTTATCTTCAAAATTACCTTCCAAATCTTCAAAACCCATTACCAAAACAGCATTTCCACTCTCCTGTAAAATAAAAGAAACAAAAGAAAAATGAAAATTGTAATTGTAATTGTAATGATATTTCCAAATTAATTACTGTGAAAATGCTAAATCTGAACTCGACTTGAGTTGGTACTGAGAATTCATAGTTTAAGCATTAATTTCTTTCGATTTTCGAACTTTCGATCTCCTCTTGCTGCCATAGCTTCATTTTTCTGAGAAGTTGGAATTGCTACAACTGTTTCAAGAAGATCTTGGAACTCTAGCAAAATGGTGGGTACCTTTTGGACTTTGAGCAAAGGTAGGATGTGCTACAAAAATGAGAAAATTACATTGTTGGGATTTGTTGCTGGAAAATTCTACTTGTACATAATTATTGCACATAATAGTGTCCATAATGTGATGTGTCAATCATCCAATTGTTGATGTGCAAGTGTAAAATTTGAATTAAAAGTTGAATCGAATGTCACGTGTAATTATGGACACCATTATGTAAACAATTATGTACATGTAACATTTCCCTTGGTTGCTAGTGTGGCGAAAGGTGTGAACGTGGTGACCATCCCAAAAAGGAATAACTGTAATGGGGAAAGGTGTGGATGTGTTGGCGATCCCAAAAAGGGATAATTATAGCAGGGAAAGGTGTTGTGGCCATGGCAATAGGTGGTGTCGGCATTGATTTGCGTGGGGAATGGGATGAGGGGGTAAAGGAGATTAATAGTTTTTCTTTTCTTTTCTTTTCTTTTTTCTTTTTTCTTTTTAGTTATTTTAATTATTTTACGGGTTAAAATTCATTTTGCCCTTTTCAATTTGGCGAAAGACCACTTTTGTTGTTCAACTAACGGTCAAAGTAATGATTTCCATCCAATTGAACTTCAAATGCATATTTATGATAGGTTAGGAGTCTTTACTGGCACAAGTTGAATGTTAAAATAAAATTTGAAAAAATTAAAAAGGTTAATGATCACTATTGCAATTTTCTTAAAAGAAAATAGTAAACTTGAGAGTGTAGGTGTAAGTGTGTAACTATGACGTAAAAATTAGATTTTTCGTAGATTTTGATGAAGGTTGGTAGAATGTGAGGTTGAAAAGTCGTGAATTTAACATCATTGCCGAATTTTCTTGTTCTTTATATTTTCTCTTTCCAAGTGTAATGTACAATTGCCCCAATTAAAAAGGAAGACCCTAATTTTGTTGTTGCTTGTTGCTTTAATTGAATTTTTCTACATAAAATATTGACTGCTGGTTGCTCGAATGTTAATTTTCTCCATGCTTGGATTCATCCCCTAGCACGAAACCACTGAGACTATGTCCGTACGAAGCAGCGTTACTGCATTGATTAAGGTTAACGTGCCTAAATACTCGAATTCATCCCATAGCACGGAGCCACCCCACATTCGTGCAAAGTAGTGTCATCGCATTGATTACGATTGATGCACAGCCACACATCACCACCACCACCACCACAATTGTTGGCCCAAGTCCCATTGTTGTAGCGCGGTCTCTCTGACCTCCTGCGCTAAAACTTCAATGGATTGATGAATCAAGGTTAATTCTTCTTCGCCATATCCATGTTTTGCCCAAGCGCTATGACGACGTCCTCAGACCATCTTCAAGAGGCTTTGATACCAACTCGTGCAGTCTAGAACACAATAGAACTACAGTCATGACAATCAAGCAATTCGCAAGATTGAATTTGGGAAAGAAATTCCCTCGGGATAACATTTTCTATATCAAAAAAGGTCCAACCTATAGTAAATAGCAAATCTTAACTCAACTCAAAAACAATTGTAAAGGAATAAGGGAAACAAATTAAGCCCTCGTTTGGTCTCCATTATTTGGTATTATAATTTTTGGAATAGTATACATATTTTGAAGAATGTGTGTTTGAAAAAGGAAAAAAATTATGATGTGAACTAATTGGGGCCAAATGGGGACGAGGAAATACCTCTAGATAGCCTAAATAGAAGGTAGTTTTGTAAGATTAGATCAAAAAATATAAACATTTGAAGAATAGCCTTTTAATAATAATCTTTCCAAAAATGCCCCTCATTGAGAAATTGCAACCAAAGCCACTACAATGTATAAAAACCTTCAATTAGGTCCTCAAAAAAATATAGATCAAAAATCTTTAATAAATTTAAACCCAAATATAATACAAAATTTTATTGATCTAAAAAACGCAACAGAAAATGAATTGAAATATTTAGAAGAAGATCTAAAAGGTTTCTTTACAGAATATTTAGATCCAAAATTAAAAAATAAAAATGTTTCTATAGATAATAATACAATCAAAACAGAAAATGATATATATAAACTAATTCTTAATCTGAGAAAAAGAATTAAAGAACTAAATATAATTATTGAAGAAAAAGTATTAATAAAAAATAGTGAATTCTATAAATTCTATTGTGATATTTTAAATACTTATAAAGATTTTAATTGGCTCAAAAATCTTAACCTCTCCGCTGCACACTCCGATAAAATGGTATCAGAGCCATGTTACGAACCAAAATTTATGATGAATATAGTAGATGAAGAAAATATAATTGAAGAATTTTTGAAAAAAGTTAAAAAAACATAAAAAACCTAGTTATCCCTACTTACCTAAAAATACTACAAATGAAAGTTTTGAAGATATACACAAAAAATTAGAAAATCTAGAATATAATCTACAAGTAGGAAATGCTCTTTTAGATAATAATCTTAAAGGAAAAGATAGGATTATAATTAATCCACCTCAAGATTTTAGGATAACACAAAAGAAAAATAATAAAGGGAAAAAACATGAAGAAAAACAATATATGATTACAGATGTAGAAGAAATAGAACAAAAATTCTTAGAATCTACAGGAGAAAAGTATGAAGAATATAAAAAACAGTTAGAAGAATTAACTAAAAAAATGGAAAATACAAAGATGAATACTAATCCATCTTCAAGTCAGAATATAAAAGTAGAATTCAGTAGTGATGAAGAACAAGATTATCCTTATGGTACCCCAATACCTGATAAATA